TCGTTCTGCTGAAGACAGAGCTGTGAACCCAGCTCACCCAGCTCCACCCACTGGTGCCTTTCTCTGCAGCGCAGTGTCCCACCGGCGCCTTCCCCATCTGGGGCACAGCATCCCACCTGTTCCTTCCCTGTCTGGGGTGCAGTACAGGGGAATGCAGGCTCCCCGTGGGTGGATGTTTGTCTGGGTCCTCCTCCCATCTCAGCAGGCTCTTCCACTGGAGCCCTGGCTCCTTGCTGTCCGTGTGGGAAGATAAACGGGAGAGCCGCATTGCTTGTCAGCACTACCAGTGGCAGGCACACACCAACTACGCATAGCCGCTCACTCCCTTCCTCTGGGGAGATCATCTGGGTGTGCAGGATGCTGGCTGGGCCGCTCACTGTGCAGGGTCATGTGTGGCAGGATTCAAGAGAAGACCTGGACAGAGCTGTGACCATTCAAATTGATGGCACACACACACAGAAGTTCAGATGTGTGCCCCTGGGTGCAGGAAGCATCGACCCTGCTCATGCACAAGGGAAGCAGCCAGAGGCAGGTCCCAAGCAGTGCATGTCATGTATGACCATGCTGAGTCTCTTTTGGTCCAGTTTACAGAGAGGGATGCCTTTTTAAGGTGAATGTTGGCGTCATTTGGATGCTTTGGACCAAAGCTGAATTTGTTTCCTTATACGATGCTCTGTGATTGCAGACTCAGAAGAATCTGAGAAAAGTTTGGATAACAAAGATTAACCTTGGCTGCTGCACCATCCCCACACATTACTGAGAAGAAGCCGACTCAGCGGCCCCATCCTGACTGGCCGCCAGAGCTACTGCTTCCCCACCCACCCTGCACAGCCCTCAGTGTGGCTGAGGCCTGCCCCCCTCCATGCTGTCACCCCCTGCTGCTTCCTGCAGTGGTGCTCCAGGGTTGACAGATGCAGGGTAGCTCTCTGAGCTGGGCACCCGAGTTCCTCCTCAACCTCCGCGTCCCCATGACCTTCCATCTACACCTGGATCTTTGGATCCTTGCTCAGGTGGCCACTTCTGGCTCAGTGAGGTGCAACCTCTGTGGACCCTACCCCAGGGCCTGCCATCAGCTCTGCCGCTCAGCCAGGCCCCCTGCAGGCTGCACGGGGACTTGCCTGCAAAGCACATGGCACAGAGCTGGAGCCATACATATTCCATCAGTAAGCGAATGCATGCGTGGAAGTGTTGAGCCCATCCTGTTTTTGAAGTTAATAAAAGGGATCCCATAAAGGTAGTTTTATGTTCAGTTTTTAAAGAGATTAAGTACTAGACATTTTTGATGGTACCCCTTCCCTCCAATCTGAAAAATTAGAATGGGGACATGACATGCTAAAACCAGCAGCGGGTCCATCTTCCTGTACCTAGCATGACCTTGTTACTGTGTGAGGTCTTAGGTCATGTTGGCACATCTTACAAGCAATGGTTGCACCTGACCTCTGCCTGCCATCAGGACAAATGAGGTGATACATGAGAAGTAATACCACTTACAAAAGGTAACACAGGACAATTATTCCATTAATTCTCTGTGCTTATTTATTTAACCTAAAATATCACTGCTTAACCAGACAAGAAGAGCATGAGAGAGGCATCATAAGGCAGTCTAACCTATGAATATGGACTCCAGCATTCTAAATAAAAGGATAACAAACTAAGTTCATCAATGAATGTATATGTGTATACCTGAAAAAACAAAGTTAGGTTTATCCCTAGAAAGCAGAGATAGACTCACATGGTGGTATATTAAGTAACTAAGCACATTAATAGATCAAATGAGAATAACTTTCTGATCACATCAGTGGATCCAGAAAAGGGAACTGGTAAAGCCTGACAGTCATCCACAATAACATGTGTATATATTTACGAAAGCATTTAGCACTGTCATAGGTGTGAAAGCAGGCTACTATGATCCTCACCTCCTTGAGAAGGAAACACACGAACTGAGTCTCCTTTAAGAGGTCAAGCCCCTTTTTCTTTTCTCTAAATTTGTGGACTTAGTGTTCCTCCCTGTCCTCTATAGCATTTTGCTCTTTAAGAGAGTCTGAAGCAAATGTCAGAAAATAGTGTTTTATGACCTTGTTTATACAGCTTTTTAATTTTTCTATATTTGATAATAAAAATGATCGAAAAAAGGAAAGAAATGAAATGAGTGTAAGATCCAGGAGTTGGGGAAGATCACTGCTCCCAGTCTTGCTCATCGAACGCATAACCAAGCAGGGCCATTGCCCAATGCACCGCATGCCAGATATGGACACTGGCCTCTGCAGCAGAGAAAAAGGTTTGTGTGCAAGGCTGCCAAGCAAGACAGGAGCAATAAATCTCAAATTCGCCTTCCTGACTGCTGGAGAGGAGGGGTGTTTATGGAAGTGGTTAAGGGTGGTGTGAGGCATAGGGGATCATGGTTGGTGAAAGGGTTTGAGGAAGTTCTTCAGCTCTGCATGCTTCGTAGGTTGCATGTTCAAAAAATGCCAGCATTAGCATGATCTGGAGGTGGGGTTTTCAGCCCCTTCTGATGTCAGAAGGTCACGCATTGGACATTTGCACAGTCTCAGCAGAGAGGTCTGTGGACTCAACCAGTTTAGCCCTGTTTATGCTGGGCCAAGCTGACTCCAACAGTCCTGCAAAACACCTTAGTCACACAACACGAGACTTCTTAAAAGGAAGATAAGGAGAAACAGAGTGAGAGGTTAATTATGGAAATTTACTGGTAGAATGAGCAATTTAAACGGAATAAACTTTAACTGAAAAGTCATGGGTTACAAACACACAGTTAAGTTGTATAGATTCTTCTCACATAATATCAAATGAAAGGCTTTTAGTATGTCAAACCTAATACCCAATTGAAAAGTACACACATTTAAAAAGTTGGGCCTTGCCCTTCACAGATTTGGGGGAAGAAACAGAGGAGACACCGTCAGCTGGTATTTGTCCAGTGCTTGTTAGTGCTGTAAAAAAGGGAGATTCTGATTTTTTTTTTTTTTTAAAGCTAAGGTAGCCAGTGATGTTCTATGGAATATGAACCAATATTGAGAATTTTCCAGTAGCTTTCATGGAAGCTATTTCTGGGACAGTCTCTTTGCACTGTCCAATAAAGTGGCCCAACTTGGTTGCTGTGGTCCAGGACCCAGGTGTTCCTTGGGTTCAAGCCCCACCCAGTCCTAGGGGAGCCCCAGGTGGGACAGCAGAGCCAGGTTAGAGGCCAGAGGTGGGCTGCGGCCACCCGGGGATGGGGAGGATGGTGATTTCAGTTGGTGAACCCGAAAGCCCCTTTCTTCGGGCATCACTGCATCCTGGGCACAGTCCTGGACTCTGCCCACGTGAGCCATGCTCTGCAGGCATGATGACATTTTCATCAAGGACACGAAGTTCAGGGAGCTCAGGTGACCGTCCTAGTTCCCAGTGGCTGAGCAGCAGCCCCTGAGCTAGAACTGAGAGCTCCTGCCAGAGCCCAGCCCCCTCCACACTACTGCTTCCACCCCTGCCTTGTCAGGAGAAGGCCGAGTGCTGGGACCAGCAGTTTGGGGACTGAGGCCAGCTTGGGACCTGATGCCTGGACGCTGACCACAGAAAGCCTCTGTACCAAGGAGAAGTTGCCAGTTATGGGCCTTTTAACCAAATCTGTGGGCTTTGGGACTGTGGAGTGAAGTTTGCTAGGAGCTGAATTAAGGCCAGGGCTTGGTCATAGGCTACACCTTGTCTGGGGCTGGAAAACCTTGTTGGCTGGGGGTCAGGTCCCAGCACACAGTGGGCCATTCTCAGGGAGGCACTTGGACAAGATCAAGCACATGAGGTGCTGACGCAAGGGGTGAGGAGTGGTCCTCTCGGCAACCCTGGATTGTTGGTTTTGGGCTCCCCTCTGAGCCTTGAGCCCCTCCTGGAGGGCCAGGCCCCCACCTCCCTCCCGTGGCCCCAGGTCTGATTCGTGTTGGTCAGTGAAGAAATGAGACCAGAGCAGGTGCAGGAGAGCTTTCAGAAGGGGTGAGCCTGGAGGGCAGTGGCTGGCCCTGAGTGATCGCATCAGCAGAGCTGCGGGATTGACAAGTGCCATTGTCACACCCTTGGGCTATGTCATAGTGAGCGGCTGCATGCACTGACATACTTTTCAAAATACAAACTGTCCAGACGGAGGACGTGCCTCAGGTTATTTTATGATATTCATAACTTAAACTTAACCTTTTTTTCTGCATTATTTTTCTCACTTTAATTTGGTATTGACATGTGAGTATGAAGATTGATTTAACTTCTGTTCCTAATCAAAGTCATTCATAGCCTTTTTTCAGTAGTACGTTATTAGCACAAAGTAGAAAATCTGCTTCTTTGCAAAGTGCAGACACGGGCCCTGGTGAGCGTGCCGTGCCTAGTGCCCCAGCGTGTTCCCTGGCTGTGCCCGGTAAACATGTTTTCCGAGAGGACGTGCGCTTCGCCATGGAGACTGCTCTCAGGCTGGGCGCCTGTGTGGACCACTTCTGTGGCACACACTGTTCTTGCGGTTCGTGCACGCAACAACTCTTCAGTGGCTTCACTAAAAGAGAAAGGGGAGAAGAAAAGAGCAGACCGGGTTGCCATCTAAGTACTGCTCTTAGCCCTTTGTTCGGCTAACTAGAGCCTTTTTCTTTATTTTTCCTTTCATTTACTTTTAAAGATGATGTCAGAAGGGCTTTCAGGCCTGTAAAGGGTCCTTTGCAGAGTGGGGCCTCCCCTTTTGAAGGGCAGGGGTAGAGGGACGAGGGTTTGAACGAGTATGTATCCAAGTCTGACCTTCCACTGGGTTTTGTGTTTTTTGTACTTGAGGAGTGGAGCCCCCAGAGGCCTCTTAGTCCTGTATTCTGAGCCTGTTGGGCAAGAGGGGGAGAAGAGACATTGGAACATCACATGTCCTTCAGCACGCTGGCCCCCTTGATAGTTACCTGCAGACCGTCGAGAGGGAGAGCAGGGGCTTTGGGTCCAGGGATGGCAGTGACCGGCAGTGACCAGCTCTCTGTGCTGTGCTCTCCCCACAGTGGATGTGGCTGCGGCACTGCCTCTCCAAGTGGCCCCCTCGGCAGTACCCATGGACCTCCGCCTGGACCACCAATTCCCACTGCCTGTGGCGGAGCCCACCCTGCGGGAGCAGCAGCTACAGCAGGAGCTCCTGGCCCTCAAGCAGAAGCAGCAGATCCAGCGGCAGATCCTCATCGCTGAGTTCCAGAGGCAGCATGAGCAGCTTTCCCGGCAACACGAGGCCCAGCTGCATGAGCACATAAAGGTGGGTCACGAAGCTGCACCAGGGCCGGGGACCCGGAGCCCTGGAGCCCTGCATGACCCTTGTGATACCATCCCTCTGCTTCTCAGGATCGCCCTTGGTCCCCAGATGTGACATTAGGCTGTGTAGAAGAGCAGCCCTCAGTGTAACATTAATGCCACAGGACTGGGGCCTGCGTGTCCACCACAGGGCGTGCCTGAGTAGCTGTGGAGGATGCAGTGCACAGTGCCAAGCAGCACCGTGAAGTCCAGCTGTGGACGCATATTAAAGTAGTGAAAATGTTCACCACCTAGTTTCATCCACAAGTGTGTACATAAGTATAAAAATTATCAGCGGAAGAAGTACCAAAATATTAATGGTCATCTCTGGGTGGTCTACAAACCATTTTTATTTTTTTTTCTTCTTGGGACTTTTCTATCTTAGTTTCTCCCATTGATCTTGTATAATTGGAAAGAAATTTTTTTTTTTCTTACTTTAAATGGAGTAAGAAAAAACTAACCAAGGCCCTTTTTTTATGCTTACCCTCTACAAATATTTAATACCATCCCAGATTTTAAAATTAAATAAATTGGAAAGAAAAACCAATTAGGAATATGTAGCAAAGTTATATTCTACAGTTGGCAGGACAGTTATTATGTCTGTGATTATAATATGCACTCACTGTATTTACAACCATAAAGAGCGACACTGTCCAAAAGAAATATACATGGATATATTAAAATTATGTAGGTAATTTTAAATTTTGTGGTAGCAACATAAAGCAAAAAACCCTAAAAAATCAGTTATCTATTGCTGTGTAACAAAATTACCCCAACACTTAGCAGCTTAAAGCAGTAAACACATATCATCTCTCAGTTTCTGTGGATCAGAGGTCCAGGAGCAGCTTGGCTGGCGCTTCTGACTTGATCAGGGCTGTGTTTCATCTGGTATTTGTCCAGTGTTTGGACCAAGCCTGGAGGATCTGTGTCTGAGCTCACTCATGTGCTTCCAGCATGGCAGCTGGCGTCACCAGTGGACCATCTGAGAGAGAGCTTGACCAGGGTGGAAGCCACTGCGTCCTTTGTAGCCTCGTCTTGGACATGGCACCACCACTATCTCTGCCTCATTCTGTCGGCCACACAGACCCTACCCTAGTGTGTCAGAGGACAGACTTAGACAAGGGGACAAACTCCAGGACCAGGGACCGTTGGTAGCCATGAGAGCCTGGCTAACAAAAGAAAGAATTAAGTTTAATGTATGTTATTTAATCATACATTTCCTAAATGTTATTTCAACATGTAATCAATATAAAAGTTACCGATGGGCTACTTTGCATTCTTTTGTTATACTAAGTCTCGGACAGGAATGTATGTTATTTAATCATACATTTCCTAAATGTTATTTCAACATGTAATCAATATAAAAGCTACCGATGGGCTACTTTGCATTCTTTTGTTATACTAAGTCTCGGACAGGGCAGATGTAGAACATTAAAAGCCTGCGACCTTCTGTTACCTGGTGCTTGTGAGGAGCTCTGTCGCTGACGCCAGCATGGCCTGTGGGTAGTGGTCGCTCAGCCAAGGCTTGGCTTCCCGAGGCATCAGCCATGCCCGGGTGTTAGCCTGGTGCTGTGCACGGTGCCCCTGGTGCTGCATCCTCCTTCTGCCCTTGACTACAGGACCCCGATCGCCCTTCCTTGTATGTGTGAGACATGTTGTTCAGTGTATTTGACTGATGGTCACTGTAGAGAGAGGAGGATAAAGTGGTAGCAGTTCCATCTGCAGACTGAGAACAGGTTGGTGGGAGGCTGCCCGGGGCTTGTTCACTGGCCCAGCCAGCTGCCTCCCAGAGCCTGGCTGGCCCTTGAGAAAGGGCCCAGTGGCAGCTCCAAGCCCCCTTCCGTGGGCGCCAAGCCATCATGGGAGTGCGTGTGCTGTAGAGGTAAGCCCATGGGCCCTGTCCACGGTCTCCCCAGGCCAGCAAGGCCAGGGGCCTGGGGAGCTGTCTGGAGGCCTGGCCCATGGGTTCTGGTGGTTGCTTTTTCTTGTTGGTGTGGAGGGCTGTTGCTGCTGCTGCTTTCTGCCAAATCTCTGGCCTTGCAAGGTCAGTGCTTGTCGCCGGTCTCCCCAGGCCAGCAAGGCCAGGGGCCTGGGGAGCTGTCTGGAGGCCTGGCCCATGGGGTCTGGTGGTTGCTTTTTCTTGTTGGTGTGGAGGGCTGTTGCTGCTGCTGCTTTCTGCCAAATCTCTGGCCTTGCAAGGTCAGTGCTTGTCGCACCAAGCAAATGCTTTCCTGAGCTGCCAGAAGTCCAGGCTTCATGGCTTTCGCTTCCAAAATTCTGAGCAGCTTAGTGGCCATGTGCAGTAGATGTGCCATGTGTCAGCACAGCCTTCATGGCCCTGTGCTCTGTAACAGTCCTCAGGGTAGTAAGGGTAATACCAGGAGGCGGAAAACATACAGAAGACCCTCGAGTCAGGACTGGTGCTGCCACCCCAGTGCAAGGCCAGGGCCTGCCTGCCCGTCCCCCTGCCTCTCCTGTCCCAGGCCTCAGGTCAGCACCTACAGGCCTAGCCATTGGACCATGCTCTTCACGCCCAGCTGGGTGCCTGTGAGAGCTCACCCCTGGCCTGCAGTGCCGGACCCCCTAAAAGATGATCAAAGCCCCTATGAATGTGGCTGCAGGGCCAGTCTCTGGGCTGGGGTCTCAAAAGCACAGAAAGAAGCTCAGGGTTGCATTTCTCTTTGCATTTTAATCATATATTTTTTCATTAAAATGGAGACCATAAAAGCCACTTCAACTATGTAATTGTGTCATTACATTAGTAGGCTTTTGTTGTGATGACCTAAACTCTCTTCATAAGCCATCATATTGTCTGTGACATTTGGCAGTGATGTTTGCCAGACAGATTTCTTGAGCACAAAATTAATTAGTGTCATTAAGTCATCAGTGAATTTGAATAGAGTTTTATAATTGAAAAGGGAATAGTTTTAAAATGTAACTTAAATTTTTAATTTTGGTAAATAAGATCTTTTATAAGGGTTTTAATGCTCAGAATGACACGTGTGCCTCCCACAGTCTGTATGCTCTTCATGGCTAATTTAAACACCTTGTTCCCCTCTCTGTCTTGGACAGTTCTCTTCTCCCTGGAAGTGGGTCCCAGGTGAGTGTGGAATCCAGCAGAGGGAGGGAGGAGGGTATGGGGGACAGTTGTGCTCCGTAAATTGTCAGCTGTTTCATCCACTGGGGCAGCATAGATGATGAAGACAGTGACCTAGTTTGACTCTTTGGGGGTGTGTTGTGTTATTTTTTTTTTTAAACAAAATATTAAAAATATCAAAGAAGTACAGAGGTACATATTCCTAATGTTTCCAATTGAAAAGTAGTGTAAGATGAAGCACCGGCGCTAGAAACTGTCCCTCCCTGCTCTCCCCCTCAGTTCCCAGGCCCCAGATCTGTTCAGAGGCAGGCACCCAGCCTCCTCCTTCTGTAAAGACTCCGTGGAGTGATCTCCCACTTCCAGAGGAAGATTTTGTCCCCTCAGCCCATCCCCGTGCACTGCCACTTCTGGCAGCCCTCCCTTTTGGCTAGAGAACTATTTGGTGTTTGGATTATTGTGACTGTGTGTGCATGTATTGCTTATAGCCGAGCACCGTGGCACACAGTGGTTGGATGTCCTCTCTTACACAGCTCGTGGTTTTAGCTGGCATGAAGAGTTTCCTCCTGTCCCATTTGCTAAGTTTTCTATGCCCCTGATGCAAACCTAGTCCCCAAACCTGAGAGGCCTGTGGCTCTTCTCCCCATGGGCAAACTCCAGGGATTGTAGGCATTATTTTCTACCTTGAGGTTCTCGTAACACAAGCATTTTTAAGTAAAATGATGCAATGACATAGACTTTATATTTCAAAGTATCTGAAATATGAATCAATTACATCTTTACATAAGGATCAAAAGTTTATTCTTTTTATGCAAAAAGGAAAATAATTATAGCTTCCAGGCCTGGACAGTGTCTTTTCTGCTTGAGCAGCAGACAGCAGGCATTTCATAGGACTGCCAAGCTTCTTTCACGCAAGTGTCTCAGTTGGTTTTTGCTGCGTAACAAGCCACCCCGAACGTAGGGCTTACGGCAGCAGTCCCTTAGTTTGTGGTGGGTTGTTTCAGAAGTTCTTAGAGTCTGGGCTCTTTCACATGCTCCTCTGACCAACTGTCATTGCTTTTTTATAGTTGTAAGTTGGTCAGTTGTGGGAGAGAGTGATGCTGGGGACTGTCTATTCTGCCATGTTGATTCTCTCTCCCTATTTAGCTCTTTTAAAAAACTTTGACTGTCCTTCTAGTGCTTTTCTAGGCGGGAGTAGGGGTAAGAGCCTGTGTTTGTCAGGCCCTGTTGGGCCTGCACTCTGCCTCCTGTTCAGCATTCCTAGCTTGCACATCATCTCCATGAGCCTCCCTCCAGAGCCACAAGTGGTGAATCCACTTCACCAGACAAACAGCCAGCTGGTAAGATGGCCAAAGTGTCATCTGGGAGGGGAGGACGGCCCCAGGACTCCCTAGTGTTGTGTATGGGAGAGGATCTGGGACGTGCTCACATTGGCATTCCAGACAGGGCCACTGTTCCAGGGAGTGTTCTTATCGTCATTAATGTCTTCCTGAATGCAGGCATCACTAATGTTAATTAATGATCACTGGAAATTACAAAGGAGAAAATGTTACTCCAGTGCTATTAGCTGGGAAAGCTGGTACAGTTTGAAATATATTTCTGTAATCTTATATAAATTGTGGGTGTGTGTCTCTGTCCATGTGTGTGTTGCCATAGATTTATAAAATTGGGATCATGTTCTGATATGTCTTTTTTACCTACTATATTGTTACTTACTGTACCATCCCATATACTTCAAAAGTATGATTTTAATAGTTTTATTGTATTTTGTCTTATGGATGAACCATGATGAGTTTAAACAACCACTGATAGGAGAACATAAAGGTTATTTCCACTTTTTAATCTATTTTTAGCTTTCTTGTGCATGAAAT